GAGCGCCCCAAGAGGGCCCCAAGAGGCCCCAAGAGGCCCCCAAGAGGCCTCCAAGAGGCCCCCAAGAGACCCCCAAGAGGCCACAAGAGGCTCCCCGAGATACGCAAGAGGCCCCCGGGACCGCCAAGAGGCCCCAAAGACGGCCCAAGAGGCCCCCAAGCTCGCCATTGTCCTCCTCCTCCTCCTCCTTTTCTTCCTCCTCCCTCCTCCCCCTCCCCCTCCTCCTCCTCCTCCTCCTCCTCCTCCTTTTCCTCCTTCTCCTTCTCCTTTTCCTCCTTCTCGTCCTCCTCGTCCTCGCAGTTCTCCATCTCCTCCTCCTTATCTTCCTCCTCCTCCTCCTCCTGCTCCTCCTCCTGCTCCTCCTCCTGCTCCTCCTCTTCCTCCTCCTACTCCGACGACGACGGCTCCTCCTACATCCTCCCCCTCTTGGGGTATATGGCGGCTCACCCCGCCCTTTGTTCTTCTGCATGCTCCCCCGCTTCCCTCATAACCTCCACTCCCCTGGGACTCATTTCTGGACGGGCTGGTGGGGATACGCGAAGCGTCTAGAATATCAATGGCGTTTGGCTTCTGGAGGTGCTCTTGGGTATCCTCTGGGGGCCCTCTTGTGGCGTCTTGGGGTCTTTGATGGCCCTCTGTGGGCCCTCTTGGGCCGTCCTGGGGCGTTTTGGGCCGTCGTGTTGCCATCTTGAGCCGTCCTGACGCCCTCGTGGCCCCCCAAGAGGCCCAAGAAGCCGAAGCCATAGATTTTACATAGGTTTTGGTTCCTGGACCCGAGGTTCCCCCTTGATTCTTCCCTCCTGAAGGCGTCTTGGGGATTTTTTGGAGGCCTCTTGGGGGCGTCTTGGGGCCCCTTGGGGGCCTCTGGGGGGCCTCTTGGGCCTCTTGGGGGCGTCTTGGGCCGCCTTGGAGCGCTTATGCGCCGTTTCGCCCCTTCGGAGGCCGTGTTTGGGGCCTCTCGCGGTCGCCTTGGGGCTCTCTTGGGGTCCTCTTGGGACGTCTTTGGGACCTTTTGGGCCGTCTTGGGGGCCTATTTGGGCAGTCTTGGGGCCCTCTTGGGCCGTCTTGGGGTCAGATTGGGCCGTCTTGGAGCGATATCGGAGGCCTCTTGGGCCGTCATGGGCCGTTGGCAACGAGAAAGGCGAGAACGCTAAAATCGTCAAGCAACCATGGGAAAATTAATGATGTTAGCCTCTGGAAGCGCAGTTGTGGGCGCTCTTAGGGGCCCTCTTGGGCCGTCCTCGGGGCTTTTTGGATTCTCTTGGGGCCATCCTTGGCCGAGGCTCTCTTGGGTCCCTAAGAGGGCCCAAAGTCCCGAATCGTAGGTTTTCCTTAGGTTACTGTAGGTTTTCAGGCCCAGAAGGGGTCCACCACTTTTGGGTCGACGGATGTGGCGTGACCCCTGGGGGGGGGGTAGGGGCGGAGACATAATAATATAACACAATATAATATGTAAGAATTTCGCAACAATTGGATACATTGGGTACGTTGGTTTTTCGCCTCCACAGAAAACGCTGCCGCTCAGCGTCACTTCCGGACGTGGATTCAACAGGCTTGCGCCACATCCGCCGACCCCTGATTTACTCTGGCCCTCTACTGTCTGGAATGCGAGCAAGTTGCCTCTCGCGTGCTGTGCCGCGGCTGTGGCGGAGAGGGGGCGATGCATGCAACGCTCCGTGTCGAGAAGGCGGGGCCCAGGGCTTTCTTGTGCCTACTTTCGGCTTCTTGGAACCTTTTTGGAGGCTTCTCGGGGCTTCATCAAGGGCTTCGCGGGGGTTCCCAGAGGGCTAGGAAGGGATGCAGAGGAAAACATTGACCAGACTCTGGGGGCTTCATTGGGTCGTTGTTGAAACCTCTTCGTTACGTTCGGGCTGTCTTGGCATGGTCTGGGACGGGTTGGGGGCTTCCTGGGCCGCGCCGGCGCGATCTGGGGCGTCTGTGGTATCCGAGGTAGGTTTCGAGGTCTCTTGGGCTCTCTTGTGACACTCCTAGAGGGCTCGCTGAACCTCCAAGCTTTTGAAACACGGGCGGAAAGGACACGATCGTGCCGGGCAGCTTTGGGAGTCGTTTTCACCCAGGTTTCCCCAGAGTCGCATTCGTCCATTGTCGTCTGCTACGATCTGATACTGTCTGCTATGTTTTGCTGTCGTCTGTTGTCGTTTGCCATCGTCTGTCTTTGTTTGCGCCGTCTGCTGTCAGGTGCCGTCGACTGCCACCTCCATCTCTCGTCAATCATGCCATCATCTGCCGTCGGCTGCCACCGTCCGCTATCGTCTTCCTTCGTCTGCCAACTATCGGCTGCCATCGTCTGCCATGGGCCGCCATCGTCTTCCATCGTCTGCTATCGTCTGTCATCGTCTGTTATCGCTTGTATTGCCCGCCATCGTCCCCAGTCTCGGCCTTTCGGCCGCTTGCGGCTCCTGGTGGCCCATATCGAGTCCCACTGGCTGCCATCGGCTGCTGCGTGCTGCTATCGTTCTTTTACTGCGGCATACGCCTCCAGGCTTCGCCAGGAAGGCGTATGCACCGATCCTGGGCTCGGGATCGGCTTGTCGTGGATCGCTGTATCTGCATCGTTGGCGTTTTTCTATCCAACTGGGCAGAATACAGGCGTGGCCCGCGAAGGGTGTCGCCCGCGGCGTAGGCCCCACGCCCCAGCGGCTTGCCGCTGGGCGGGGGCCCGCCGCGCGCGCGAGGGCGCCCAGCTTCCGCGCGCGGCCGCACGCGTCCACCGAGCAGCGCTAGGCGGCGCTCAGCGACGCGCATGGGCCGCGCCCTGCGCGGCGCCCAGGCTGCGCGTAGCGTGGCGAGCCGGCAGCCGCTTCTGAGTGCTGGCCGGTAGTTAATTAGGCTGGCCCGTGCCCCGAACCCTCCTCTCGGCGACAGCTTTACCCGTCTGCCCGCGACCAAAAAAAAGTAGCGTGGCGAGCGCGGGCAGGGCTGTGCAGCTCTTCGTTGCGGCCCAAGATCGGCCTGGGCGCAGAGCAGGCACCTCGACCCTCGTTTCATCGATCGAACCTCGAGCCTCGATCAAACCACGGTCGTGGAGCCTCAAGCGAGTTTCGCCGGCTTCGCGACGGACGTGCGCTGCGCCGCGCGGGTCCCGCACCCCAGGCGCTGTTTGGGCGATGCCTGCGCGGTGCCCGCACACTGCAGCGGTCGACGCCCGGGGTTCACCGCGCGCGCGCCGCGCCTACATGTCGCCCACTTGAACATTCCCCTGCCAGGGTGAGTACCTGTTGAATACACGGCCGTGACAACACATTATGCGGTTTTATGAGATGATGGTATCTCCTATCCTTCTGAATATTCCGAGCATGGACATGCGCCTTCCCCGATCCCGCGGAGTAATTTGACCCCCTTTCATTATCATTTCTGTCATCTCAACAGCGGATTGGAAATCACACCGCCCAATCTTGTATAATAATGGAACGGGGCGCGTGTCCGCGCGGAGTCAATGTTATGCCGCCCATTCCGCCTATTCCGCCATTTTCTGGTCACGCTGGATGAAGACCGCATAATATCTCTGTCGCGGCAGTGTCGTTTCCTTGGGTTTTTCTGTGAGCCCCCCTTGGGCAATCTTCAATCCGCTTCTCTTGCAGACTTCAGCGCGCCTTCTTCAAACCTCCAAGAGGCATTGAACGAGCCTGGCCCCCTCCAGGCGAACCCGGCCCTCCCTGGGGGGTTGCCCGTTCTTGCGACGGTTTGCGCGGGGCGCCCACGCAAACGGGCGTGAACCCTGGTGAGTCCAGCCCCGGGGGGTTGGCCCATCTTGGCGGCTATTTGCATGGGGCGCCCATGCAAACGGCCCCCGAACCGTGGGGGCCGGGCCCACTCGGGGTTCGCCCGTTCGAGCGGCCATTTGCAGGGTGTGACCATGCAAATGTGCCCTGGAATTTAAGAGGGGGCTCAAATTTCCAGTTTGGGTGCCCCTGGGGGGGAGTGGTAGGGGGGGAACCAACTCACACGCCTAGAGACCCACAAAGGGTCGGCGGATAGGCTACATCTCGGGGCCCTCCTGGGCCTGTCTCGGACTACCTTGGAGCTATGCTTCGGCATCTTGAGGCTTTCGTGGGGCCATCTGGGCATGACACCCAATGATCCAGGCTCCTGGGGGCGCTGCTTGGCTAGCTTGGATCCCGATTGCTACGCGCCTGGGCCACTGGGGGTCCCGAGGGCCGTGGCCAGGAGAGAAGCCTTATGTGGCCTCGTCCAGGGACCCCCAGGGGCCGCCACGCGCGTGCGAACTAGAAAGATTGTTGCACGTCTTTGGCCCGTTGGGCTAGCGTTTTTGTTTTATGAATGTTGTGATTGTCAGAGTCTCCGATGAAAGGTTCTTCGGCCATTTTGGACTGACTTGGTGTCCATTTGGCTAGCTTGGACCAGCCTGGGCCATCTTTGGGTCATTCTTGCAGCATCTAATGGCGAGCGTATCCTTGACACGCATTGATCCGCAATATTGGCGCATTTACGCCCGCTTAAAAGTGCCATCGACCTTGCCCCTCATATCCTCCACACTCCTGTCCGCTGTCATCAATCTCGTCGTTGGGGTCGCGGTCGTAGTGGATGTCGTCGTCGAATTTGCTGATGCGCTCGTTGTGGTCGTCGTCGCAGTCGCTGTCGGGGTGTTGGCCGTAGTCGTGATCGTTGTCGTCCTACTTGTCCTCACCGTGGTGGTCTCTGGAGATTGGGGAGCATTGCCATCTGCTGGAGCTCGACGAGGGCTCCAGGACGGCGTTGCAAGTGTCCTTGCCGGCCTTCTCTGTGGGCCACGCTATGTCGTGACCTGGGGCCGCTGACGACAGTGTCGCCGTCGCCGTCGTCGTCGTCAACAACAACAGTCGTCAACAGTCGATGTTCTCGCCGTCGCCGCCGCCGTGGCCCTGCGGTCGCTCTCGCCGTCGTCTTCGTCGGCCACGACCGCGCCGCCGCCGCCGTCGCCGCGGGACCCACCGCGGTCGTCGTCGCCGTCGTTGCCCTCGACACCGCTGCGGGGAGAGGCTGGTGCCTCCGCGACGATCCTGGAGGGCCGCCGCGCCGACCTCGGGCCGCAGGCCGCTCGACGTCGCCGCCGCCCATCGCCGTTGCCGCCCTTCGCCGCCGCCCACCGCCGACCGCCGCCCGCCCACCGTCGCCGACCGCCGCCGCCGACCACCCACCGCCGCCGCCGCGTGCAGCGCCATTGCCGCCGCCCACCGCCGACCTCCGCCGCCGCCCAGCGTCGCCGGCCGCCAGCGCCGGCAGTCCCATCGCCGCCGAGCGCCGTTGCCGCCGTCGCCGTGCGGCCTCTGTAGCGCGGGGCCTCGGAGGTCGGAGGGCCCGCTGGGCGGGCAGAGCCGGGCGGGAGAGCGTGCAGAGGCGGCGTTTGCAGATGCGCCGATGGGCTTTCTGCGGGTCAAGTTCTTCAGGGGTGACGATGGGGGGGGATAGGCACAGGGGCGGGTGCATCGACCCCGCATCGCCCATCCATCGCCGATAAGGGGCCCGATAGCCTCAACCCCGCCCAGGAGACCGCGGATTCGCCATCGGGGGCCAATTTCGATCACAGATTCCAGGTCTACGGTCCCCCCCCTGTGCCAGCGCCCCCTATCGTTGTCCTTCATTTGGTCGGGGGCTGTAAAGGTGCCCCTGGTCCAAGGTGCTCCCAGCTTTCGCTCAATGCTGGAGCTCCTGTGGGGTTCCAGACCTCGTGCGGGGCGCTCTGGAGGCCGTGGGCCTTCCTTGGAAATCCCGGGGGCACCTTGGGCCAGGGGCACTTCAAGCGACCCCCGAGTCAAGGGGCGGGACAGAACGGGGTGGGGCTCCCACCAGGAGCCCACCCCGCCCGGGAGCGCGCGGAATCGCTGTCGCGGGCACCTCGCCGATCCATCGCCGATCGCCGCCTCCAGGTTGCTCTTTCCCCCGCTGAGCTGGTCCCCCCTGACGTTCCCCCTCAATGTTGGCTCAGCGTCCAGTCGTTTGCTGTCGTCGCCATGGCCCCCCCCCCCTCCCTCTCGGTGGACGACAGAGCGAACGAAACTTGCTGCATGCCGCTGGTGGCGGGCGGCCTCACTGCCAGACTCCTAGATGCACGGTCGTTGGCTCCAGGAGGTGCCGCCGTGTAGCTGAGTCTTGGACCCCAACTTTCGTCCCTAACCCCCGCGTTCGTCGTCGTTTTCCCCCTCCTCCGAGCTGGTGCGCTCGAACAACCGAGTGTTGCAAGGACTACCGTCAGAAGGGCTCACGTTCCTGCGGGCCACAGGTTTTCGGGGGCTTTCCCCAGTCAACTTCTACCCACAACGATTCGGGCGCCATTGCCCCCCAATGGTTAGCAATTCGTCTCTATCGCCAGCAAAAGCATCTGCTTCATCAGTGGCAGAATCTCCACGCTGCTGTAGTGGTTGGGTTGTCCCTTGTGTCGTCGCCTGCTGGCGCACGAGGAGACACATGGAGTTGCGAAGATTGTAGCTGCAATATTCGGGCGAAGAGAACTATGCACATGCACCGATCCTGGCAAGGCCCATTTTTGACCCAGGATCGGTGCATATGCCTTCCTGGCCAAGGTAGGAGGGCGTATGCACCGATCCTGGGCTCAGGATGGGCCTGGCCAGAATCGGTGCATGTGCATAGTTCTTTTCCCTCTAAATATGAAGACGGCGGGTCCGTTCCAGCGAAAGAAGCGCGGGCAACCGCGCACAGTACCTCGGTTTCGCCACATCGGCCGCTCCTCGTGGGGTTTTTGAGCATGCTCAGTGCCGCCGCCGGGCCGGGGCAGTGGACCTGGCGTTGGGTGGGGGGGCTGGTGCGTCTCGAGCTTGATGGTGGTGGGCATCTTTTTTGGCCGTGTCTTAAATCGGGCCTGTCCCCCTGCAAGGGGATTTTTTCGACGAAACAGAAATACCCAACACGTGTTCCAAAAATGGTCGAACAATAGTATGGGGACTATTTTGTTCATAATTTCTTGATCTTTTTGGGCCACCCGGGGGGAATGTTGTTATGTTTCGTCGAAAATCCCCCTGTAGGGGAACACGCCCGACATAAGCCTGGTCTCTCTTTCACCCCTGTCGGTGGTGTCGGACATGGACGTGGTGTCGGTGGTGTCGGACATGGCGAGCTGCGCGCGGTTGGCGACGTGGACGGCGCCGAGAGGTATCAGTCCAGGGTGGAGGCCGAGTTGGCGGGAGTTGGTGGCTTCGGGTCAGCCCCCCATTTCTCCAGAGGCAGGTCAACAGCTTTCCAAGGCCAAGGCGCGCGGGCAATTGAGGGTCGATTGGGTCGAGTCGGCTTCTGCGCAAGAGTCGGCTGGGCTCTGGGTTCGGGATGTCCGAGATCAGGCGCCTTCGCTGTCGAGGGAACTGGAGTTCACCGAGCAGGCCCACAAGGACCTGGTCAGCAAGCTGCACGCTCGCGTCGAATGTCCTCCACCTGCGGCTGCCTCAGATTCCTCATCGGGCTTCTCTATTGACGACATCGTTGCGGGGAGGGATGTGCCCATCAACTTCGGGTCGCTCATGCAGGCCACGGCGGATGCGCACGAAGCGCCGTCGGAAGAGCATCAGGGAAACGACGAGCGCCGTCGGAGGAACATCAGGAGAACGACGAACGCATTCCCGCCCCCCAGGAGCGGTTCCGACAGACGGTCACCGGTCACCACGCTCTTTGCTGAGGCCAAGTCGCAGGGCCACAAGTCTGGTGGCTGACAGAAGCAACAGCAGCAGCGCTTCTCCGCCATGAAGCGCAAGACGGGGTGCGAGGATGCTCTTGCTGCACAGCCGCGGACCCCGCCAGCGGGCGAGGGTGGCAAGACGCCCGTCGCGCCCCCCAGTGGTCAACGGCGATTTGCAAGCGGCCTCGTCTGGACCGACGTCGTCTGAGAAGTTCTGAGAAGTCACCATCGGCATCTGTTGCTCGTGAAAGAAGATGTCGCAGCAGTCTGCCCCCCCGCGGCGGCGCCGCTTCGATTGTCTTGGCAGGGGGGGGGGGCTCTTTTCAACGGAGTCGGCTCTGCTTCGGCGCCTGCGCATTCCAGTTGCTCCTCGTTGCGCCTTTAGGGCCTCGCCGCCCAGAGGCCCCTCGGGGGGGGGCTCTTTCTCCGAATGGGAACGTATCTGGGCCCGGCGGAGCGCCCCAGGGGTCGCCGCCCTGGGCCCAAACGCGCTCGGGATTGTCACTGGTGGGGATCAGGGGAGACACTGCCTCCTCAGTGGGATTCGAGTTAGCCGCTAGTCTTTGCCGAGAGCAGGCCTTCATGGCCACCCCCTTCATGCTCGCGCTCGGCTTCGCCGCCGCCTGCCAGCCCCGGGATTCATTTTTCGCGCTCGAGGTTTTTTGCTCCAGGTGTTGTTTCCCAGCTTTTTCCGCCGCGCGTTGTTCAGGGCCGGGCCGCGCGTCGCGGTTTGCCGAGCCAGTCGCAAGGCGCCCTTGCGAGCGCCCGTCGCCCCCGACTTTGGGGAGAGCGCCAGTGCTCGAGCGAGCGGCGCTCTCTGATTTGAGCCATTGGCGTTCGACTGCGCGACTGCGCCCCCGTCGGTTCGGCGCGCCCTATCTCCAGGGCCTGCAGCGTTTCAGGGCGGGGTTCGGGCAAGTTATGACCGGGCCAGATGGTCTTCCGCGTGGTTCTCCTGCAGGGGCACAATCAGCTTTCGTCGCGGACTGCTCCGACGCCCAGATGCGTCACGCGCAACGGTTGGAAGTCTCTGCGGGGCCTTGCCGTTGGAGGTCCTGGCGGAGAACCCCAGGGGGAGTGGTGGCGCCAGTGCGCAGCGGCTACGGCTTCTTCGCCGCCCCCCAGTAATGCACGCGCTGTGGCTCGCGCAGAGGCCGGCGCAGTCAACTCGCGAAGCACGGGCGGTCACTTCCCGCGGCTACCTCTTTGCATTGCTTTTGCCTCTCGACCCGCCCCTCGCGACTTTGCCTGGCCAGCCTCATTCGAATCGCGCGAGCGCGACCCTGCAAGGCCATTGTGTCCTCGCCGCGCATCCCCGCTGCGCGCGTTGGCCGCGTTGCGGATCCCCGGGGTCGGGCCCGACCCTCGCCGCCCCATCCTACTTCCGCGATGGCGGGGGCCAGTCGGGCTGGGGCGTTCCCCCCTCTCCCCCCCTGGGTATTCAAGAGTTCCAGTTTCTGTTGAGAGCGGTCTCAGCGCGGGACCTTCCCCGCTGGCGGGGCGGCCCCAACGCGGGGCCTTTGGCGGCGCGCGAGCCGGAGAAAAGTCGCGCTGCTCGCTTGCCGCAATTGCCAGGGGCACGCGCGTCAGTCTTGCGTTGGCCTCGAGCAGTGCGGCGCTAGGTTTGCCTGCCAGGGCTTGGCCGATTAAGCTGGCCAGGTCGGAGGTGATCGGGGCGTTCAACCCGTCGCCCCGCTGCCTTGTTCGGGCCGCTACCCGCCCCCAAGCCGACTGGCTTAAATGTTTGGCTGTCCACAGCCCCCCCTTCGCCCCGTTTTTCACGATGGCTCCCGCGCGATATATTTGTTATGAGCCTGCCCCCTCTGCCCCTCGCCCCCGCCCCCCCCCCCCCCCCCCCCGCCATTTGAACGCCCGCAGGGAGTTCCTCCGTGGCACTGATTTTGAAGGGGCGCAGCGCACCCAGAGAAGCGCTGTAAATTGTTGGACCACGCGGCCGAACAGGAGGCGGCGGCGGCGGCGGGGGCCAACGCCCCCCGTTCGGGGGCCGCGGGCAAGCCTTTGTCGCTGCGTCGGGAACCAACCGCCCCGCCTGAAGATGCCTCCGCGCGTCTGGAGCTGTCCGCCCGTCAATGTCTCCCGCGCGTTTGGGCTGCCTCGGTCACTGGGGGGCCGCCCGCGAGGTGTTGCGGGCGCCCCAGTTGCCGCCTTCGGGCTCCTTTTCGCCACGAATGCCGCGTGTAAGGCTTTCTTTTGTAGCCAGCCCGAGTCTTTCAATCTCGACCTACCTTGCCGCGAGGAGGCCGACGGAGCGCGGCGCGGGAGTTCTGGAGCGCTCCGCGCTAAGTCTGTCGTTGCTTTCGGAGTGGTAGAAGCCACTGCCATGATGGAGAGCGACGAAGGTTTTTGCGATTTGATAGTTCGCCGGGCTGATGTGGGGCGCGCGCAAGG